AAGCAAAGAGTCATTTATTTCAAACCTAGGTTGATTAAAAATTTCTTTATTGAAGGAAAAAAAAGAGTGAGTAGCGATATGGGCAGAGGCATGCTGCCTACTCAGCCTACATCTATACACCTTTTCTCCTTCCTAGAGAGGTTGCCTTTGTCAATTAGTAAATACAAGCTCACAGTCATTAGGGAATCTGAAATGAATATTGCTGGTAGAAATTACGAGTCTTCAGAGGAGGGTGGTTATGCTTGAAGCTTTGAACACTTTCAACTTGAAGCTCTAAATACAGGGTGGGGCAAAAGTATGTTTTAAAGTTGTGAGTATGTGAAATACAGAGTTTATTTTCCTATTATTTATTAATTATTGTATTATTTTCCATATGAGCACCTGTAAACCTACTTTTGATGCCCTCGTATTGAACAAACGAATGCTAAAAAAAACCTCTCTCTTCATTTTCACAACTTTGTGAAGCTCCAAAATCGCCAAGAGCAAATTTTGAGACTTAATTTTGGTTGATTACTAAAGATAACTACAAATATTGCTTGGAAGAGCTTGATATTTAATCTTAAATAAGAAAGCCACTGGTCTACTTAGTATAGACCCTAGTTTCCTCAGCTAAAAAATGTGAATAGTTGTAGCACCTACCTGTTGGGGTGAATGAAATGAGATTATACAATAAAATGTTTCATACAATTATTGACACATAGTAAACAAAATATGACCATTGTTGGTATGCTCCCATTTTTGTTAACTTGAATTTGTGAAGCTCAATTTCCTGCACTTCTAGTTACTGTGTTTCCTTCATTTGATTTCAGAGTGTCAGGCTCCACTGGGAATGGCTTCTGGACGCATCAGAGATTTTCAGATTACAGCCTCAGGACAATATGGTAAATATTATTTTCTCTCTAAGAACTGGACTGAATATATATTTTTTACTCCTCTTTAAATATATTCTTATTGATTTCAGAGAGGAAGGGAGATGGAGAGAGAGATAGAAACATCAATGATGAGAGGGACTCATTGATCAGCTGCCTCCTGCATGCTCTCTACTGACGATCAAGCCCGCCACCTGGGTATGTGCCCTGACCGGGAATCGGGAATTGGGAATCAAACCATGACCTCCTGGTTTATAGGTCGACACTCAACCACTGAGCCACACCCACTGGGCTATCTTTTTTACTTTTGTTGGATAGGTTCAGATAACCAATCCATCTCGATCTTCTATTAATTTTACTCCATAGGTACCTCTCAAATGTATTTTCTCTTCATTTCCCACTGTGACCATCCTAATTCAGGCCACCATCACTTCTCACCTGGGTAATGCCACTGCCTCCTTAAATGTCGTGCCTGCCTGTGATGTTATTCCCCTTGAGTCCATTTTCTTCACTGTAATAGGAAGCTGCACTTTTATTC